AGAGCCGCAGGCAGCAAGGGAAGCAATGCAGACAGATGATATCACAATGTCTTTCTAATATGATTTTAAGATGAGGGTAAGTATGTTGCACTCACTTTTCCTTCAAGAAAAGGAAGAGTTTTTGTTTTCCTGTACTTGATTCAGTTGGGAAAGAATGCAGCTGGTGAGCTGTTGCTGTTGCTATACAAGAGAGCTTAAACCTGCATGAGTTAATTGGCTCCCAGGGGTGAAGCTCCATGCATTATATGGCGCCAAGCCTCAGGTTGTGACAAGAAAAAAAAAAAGAAAATAAATTTCAGGTGTAATCCCCCTCAAATGATTTTTGGGAGCTCAGAGTGTGGCTTGTGTCCACCCCCCAGAATGCTGACCTCTGCATCAGGAAGTGGTTGACCTCGCCAAGAGCTGCCACTGACCCCATCGACAGGATAATGGGGAAGGTGTGAGTGATTTCCTGAGTACCCCTACATCACTGCAAGAGCGTCAGACAGTGGAGTCAAAAGAATATAACAGCAATTTAAAATAGGGACACGTTTACAAGATAAAATTACAAAAGTGTTACAAGGGAAAATCGATTTATCTCAGTAGTCTGTGCAAATGCATGCACACGTGTTTACATGCAGCACCATGGAAAACCAAGGGACACAGCAGACACGACAGGGACTTGAAAAGAAGGCAAACGTAGGGTTATTGTATGAAAAAAGAAGCACTGAACACCTCCTGGAGGACTGAAAATGGGAAAAAGTAGAACTGTAAACCATTAAAACACATCTTTCCGTGTAATCTGACAGAACTGCTAAGAGGCTCATCTTATTTCTGTGGGAGCTGCAGAAATCCACAGCTTTTGTTGAAGAATCTTGTGAAAAGTCAGCCATTGGTTGAGAAGTCGACACATTTTGGCTGCTAAGGGACAGAGAAAATGTTGTTAAAGTGTTGAGAGACAGCCCCTCTGCAGTTTTTCATAAACCATGCCAGATAAGATCAAAACTGAATTTTTTGACCTAGATTATGTTTGGTTTAAAACTGACATCAGCATCTTGCAGGGATTTGGCTTCTTTTGGCTGTTAATAGAAATTTGGAGAGCAAATACAGGGCAATCCTGAGGAAAAAAAATCTGATTTAGTTTTTTTTTCTTTGAATGGGCAAAAAAATCAAAAACCTAAACGGACTAAACAATTATCCAAGTGTACAAATTAAGTAAAAAAGACATTGCTGCTTTATATACAGAAACTCATCAACAAACATTTATTTAAATGTATGCAAAATTCTTTCTGTCAAAACCACACAACTCTGACTGTAGTCTGACTAGACAGTAATTGCATATTGTCTTGTCTCTCTACTCGGCTAAAAGTAAAAATAACCAAAGACTCTCACAGCCTTTAGCCTCATGCTACCGCAATACCTTTTAAGAGAAGGCCTGGATATAATTAGCCTTGATTCATTATCCCTTTTAAAGAGCATCTTACTCAGTATGAGTTTAGTTTCGTTTTCCCCTTATATCCCTGCCAGTGTTGATGATGCTGTAGGAGATGATTCAGCAAACAACTGGAGAATCAAAGCTAATTTTTATAGCACTCTACAACCACCAGCAGGTACCCAAAGTGCTTAACAAAATTAGGAATGTCACAACCTACAATAGAAAGAGTGAACATATAAAACAGTAAAATCAGAAAGGTTACAAAGAAACAAAATAATTAAATTGTTACACCACTATTAAGTATTGAAAGCCAGCATGAACAGATATAAAATTATAATTAAACTTTATTGATCTCACATTTGAGAAATTTACCTCTGCGTTTAACCCATCCCCTTGGGGAGCAGTGGGCTGCCACTGTGCGGCACCTGGGGAGCAATTGGTGATTAAGGGTCTTGCTCAGAGACCCAGAGTGGCAGTCTGTGGAAGTGAGTTTCGAACTCACAACCTCAGGCTTCCAAGCCCTATGCCCTAACCATGGGGCTCCACTCCCCTAAACCCCTTTTATTGGTTTAGTTCAAAAACTCTTTTTGATTTATTTCATAAACTCTTTTGAGTTTGAACCTAAAAAGAGCAATTTCTGTAACAGTGCAAATATCCGGGGTAACTAGTTGTCTCGGGGCAGCAACTGCAAAAGCTTTATCACCCCGCCGTTTATACCTTGACCTTAGGACTTGAAGACCGCAATGACTGGTTGTGCTTCTACAAAGTAAAATTTCAGACAAATACTCTGGGGCAAAACCATTTAAAGCTTTAAAAACCATTTAAAAATTTTAAAACACACCGGGATCAAATGCAGGGTATAGAGAATAGGGGTGATGTGTGCACGTCTTGATGTATTTGTTAGAAAGTGAGCAGCAGTATTTTGCACAACTTGAAGGAGTAAGATGGACGTCTGATTCAGACCAACATAAAGAGCATTACAGTCGTCCAACCTTGAACTACAAAGGAATGGCCTTTTCTAGGACGCGCCTGCTTAGAAAAGGCTTAACTTTAACCAACAGCTGAAACTGAAAGAAGCTTAAAGAAAGACAGAATTAACAACATTACGTATCTGCTTACCAAATTTCATGCTGCAAACAAAACTGACCCCCAAGTTTTTAACAACTGATCTAGTGTAAGATTCCCAAGCTCCCAAACTTAGAGCTGGGCCATTCTGCATACCTGGAGCACTGAACATAATGCATTCTGTTTCACTTTCATTAAAATTAAGGAAATTGCCTGAAATCCACAACTTAATATCATTAATACAATCAACTAGCAAGTTTAGTGAGACACTGTAATTTGCTGAATATCTAACTAGAATTGGAAGGAGGTTTTGGTCTAAAATATGAGCTCTTTCTTGGCTCAGCTTTTGGAGGAAACAAGGAAACAGCAAAGATAATGTATTGGTGCAGTGGTCCATTGACCCTAGAAAATATTGCTCCTAAATTACCTCTTTGAAATACTTGGAATTTGTTTCCCCCAGCTGCATTAGCAGCGTGATCCTTGCCCCCTTGATCTTGGCAATGGTATCTGCATTACCATATGCCTGGAGGACTTGGCACAAACTTGGAGAACAAGCGTATGCCAAAAACTCCCAACTGTGCAAGTAGAAAATCTAGGATAGTTTTTCATCTCTGTTCTGAAGAAGAAAAGATAATGAGATTACAGTGATAGTTGCAAATCAAAACATGCTTTATTGCAAAGTATGCTTTATTTTACAATAAATTTGTTTTACTGGTGATGTGACATGCAAAGACAAGTAAACATACAGCTGAACTAAATAATATTGGAACATACGATTTGGGATAAAGTTGATTATGAAAAGAATTACGTAGAATACTGTAAAAAAGAGACAGAGTAATGATAATGATTTCTCTCCAGCCCTGGAGCTTATAGATCATGATCTGTCTCCAGGCATCATCTGTCCTTGACTATCAGGCAAAAAGCAGATGGTGTTGAAAATGTTCACTGTGCTCACACTGTGGATACAGTTAGACTTTGTTCAATGGAAATCCATCACATGTATATGGGCAGTTACTGACCTGGATGGAGGACAGGGAAAGCCTTCAGGCACTTTACTCTTTCCCAACTTTCTTTATGTACATGCAAAAATAAAAAAATAAAAGCAATACAAAAACAGAAGGAAAAACAAACTTAGGCTAGTTTTATGTTTCTGGACTTCTTTCATGTTTCCATTGAGCCATGGTAAAATGATAATAATAATAAAGCTTATTGTGTTTTTTTTTTTTTTTTTTTTTTTTTTTTTTTTTTTTTTTTTTTGGTGTGTCTTACTTAAAAAACCCAGTTTGAAAATAAAGATTTAGGCCACCTGAAGTGTGGCTATCTATGAAACTACAGCTCTGTGTGGAAGTGGGACAGCACAGTCTGCTTTCTACCAGCTAGGTGACCAAACCTGAAAGCTGACAACCATCTGCCTCATGATTCCTTGTGGCATATATGTCTCATACTTTTTTTCTTCTTTTATTTCTGATTTTGAAGAAAAAACAGAAATAGAGCAAATTGTCTTTGCTTTGAGGCTGACTGGCTATAGATGTCAAATCAGAGTTTGCCTACAGGATGAATAATACATCAAAAAGATCTCTTTTGCAGTGAAGAGTAACATGGATTCCCTCACTATACTTGTGAAACAACCCCATAATTGATCATTAAAAGACATTTATGTTTGTTTGTGAGATTTTACTGCATGCTCAACCTGTCCTCACTGATTAACTAGCAGTTTGGGGCAAAGCTTCACCATTATGGATTTGATAGCAGTTAGCTTATGCTTCACCTTGTCTTTATGGAATAATATGAATTTGAGTTAGGCTTCATAAAAAATTTCGGCAGGTGGGAAACTTTTTCTCCACAATATACAATAAACGTCATAAATTGCCTTACTGGACTACTTGCAAAAAGATATTCAACTAATTATTGAGGCATTTAACTCCCCTTTGAACTAGAAGCAGCATAGACTTTGGAAAAAGTCTTTGTTATTTTAACTAAGACCCCAAAAAAGTGAATTCAAAACAGCTGCTGTCATTACACTAAATATTTAGGCAAATAGTTGCACCTTTATTAGAAGTGAGTCATTTTTTCTTTGGTGGGTTTAATGTATGATAAAAAATGTTAATGCATTTAAATTTTTAAACTGTATTCACAGTATGATATAAATTTAAGTCCCTGCATGGTGCCCATCCAAAGCTGCTTTTAATCTCTTATAAAGTGAATTAGATTATCTTGTTTCACTGAAAGAAGACAGAGTTGGTCTCCAAAGGAAGTTAAAATGAAGCATGAAATGTCTGCCTTTTAAAGTATATATTTTATCATATGTATAATTAGGCCATTAAAAGCCGGAACAAATAATTTTCTGTATTAAAGATATAAATGTGGTCTAAATATCATATATGACATATTTTTTTATCTAGTTGATCCTGTTTTTTTTTTTTTTTTTTTGTTTGTTTTATTCAGCACTGTTTACAAATTTGATAACAGTTTGTAACCGAACAATTTTCTCTATCAACCCCCCACCCTAATTGATTTGCAGGATGGCTCCAAGCAGAAACAGGTCAGGAAGAAAACCGTGTCCTTCAGCTCTATGCCGAGTGACCGTAAGATCAACAGCACTGCTGCCTGCATGGCCTTTATGTTGGAGGGTTGTGAGATGAAGAAGGTGCGCTCCAACTCCCGCATGTACAATCGCTATTTCCTGCTAGATCCTGATATGCACTGGCTCAGATGGGAGCCATCCAAGAAGGATTCAGAGAAGGCCAAACTGGAAATCAAGAGTATCAAGGAAGTCCGTTTGGGGAAAAAGACTCCAGTTCTCCGCAGCAATGGTCTCTCAGATCAGTTCCCCGATGAGTGCGCCTTCTCAATCATCTATGGAGATAATTATGAGAGTTTAGATTTAGTAGCCAGTACGGCAGATATTGTCAGCACATGGGTGATGGGCTTAAGATACCTGGTGTCTTACGGTCGCCACCCTGTCGACATGGCAGAACCTAGTCAACCAAGCTTAAGAACATCTTGGATTGGTTCAGTTTTTGAACTGGCGGATATGGAAAAGGGAGGACACATAGACCTGTTCAGAGCAACCCAGATAATCAAGGGGCTTAATCCTGGAATGAAAGAGTCAAGGATAGAGCTAAAGTTCAAAGAATTACAAAAAGCTAAAGACCAATATGGAGAAGCAATTAATTTGGACACTTTTGTGGAGGCCTATTGTGAGCTCTGCACACGGCCTGAGATTTTTTTTCTGCTTGTTCAGTTTTCTAGTAATAAAGAGTACTTGGACAGTAAAGATCTGATGCTATTCGTAGAGGTGGAGCAAGGTGTGGAAGGAGTTACAGAGGAAATGTGCAGGGATATTGTTCAGAAATTTGAGCCCTCTGCCAAAGGTAGAGAAAAAGGCTACCTCTCCATTGATGGTTTCACACACTACCTCCTGTCCTCTGAATGCCATATTTTTGACCCTCAGCACAAAAAAGTGTGCCAGGATATGACTCAGCCTCTATCTCATTACTATATCAACTCCTCCCATAATGCCTCCCTCCTTGATGACCATTTCTGGGGTTCATCAGACATCAGCAGCTACATCCGAGCTCTGAGGATGGGTTGTCGAAGTATTGAGGTCATTGTATGGAACGGTCCGGATAATGAACCAGTGGTATATGTTGGAAGTTCTGTGGCTACTCAGCTGGCTTTTTCTAAAATTCTGGATATTATAAACCAATATGCTTTTGAAAGCTCTGAGTATCCCCTTATTCTCTGCTTGGTGACCCACTGTTATATCCCCCAGCAGAGGGTAATGGCTCAACACTTGAAGAAAATTCTTGGGGATAAGCTGTATGCTGAGTCACCCAACAAAGAAGAAAACTACCTACCCTCACCCGAAAAACTTAAAGGCAAAATACTCCTAAAGAGTAAAAAGCTGCCACCCAGCTGCACTGAATCTGAGGGGGATGTAACGGATGAGGAGGAGGGCCTGGAAATGTCTCGCCGAGTTGGAGCTGATGAGAAGGACCAACTGAATGGTATGGGATGCAAAAGACTCAGGCTGTGCCGGGAGCTTTCTGACCTTGTGTGTCTGTGCAAGTCAGTACAGTTCAGGGACTTTGAACTTTCTAAGAGGGAACAGAAATACTGGGAGATCTGTTCCTTCAATGAGGTAGATGCAAACAGATTCGCCAACGAATTTCCAGAGGAATTTGTGAGTTATAACAAGCGCTTCCTCTCCAGGGTATACCCCACATCTATGAGGATTGATGCCAGCAATATGAATCCACAAGATTTCTGGAAATGTGGCTGTCAGATTGTGGCGATGAACTACCAGACACCGGGCTTGATGATGGACCTTAACCTTGGCTGGTTCAGACAAAATGGAAACTGTGGATACGTTTTGCGTCCTGCCATTATGAGGGAGGAGGTTTCCTACTTCAGTGCCAATGCGCGGGACTCCCTACCAGGAGTTTCGGCACAACTTCTCCACATCAAAGTCATCAGTGGACAGAATCTTCCAAAGCCTCGGGGCTCTGCAGCCAAGGGTGATGTGGTTGAGCCTTACATATATGTAGAGATCCATGGCATACCAGCAGACTGCGCCGAACAAAGAACCAAGACAGTTTCCCAAAATGGAGATAATCCTATTTTTGATGAAAGTTTTGAGTTCCAGATTAACTTGCCAGAGCTTGCAGTTCTACGCTTTGTGGTGCTGGATGATGACTACATCGGAGATGAGTTCATTGGTCAGTACACCATCCCCTTTGAGTGCCTACAGCCAGGCTACAGACACGTCCCTCTGCAATCCCTCACAGGAGAGTTCCTGCCCAACACCACTCTGTTTGTTCACGTGGCCATCACCAACAGGCGTGGTGGAGGAAAGGCACATAAAAGGGGTCTATCTGTGAAGAAAAGTAGAAAGGCTCGGGAGTATACCACCACCAAGACCACCGGGATCAAGGTAGTGGATGAACTCTTCAGAGCTTCTACCCAGCCCCTCAGGGAGGCGACAGACCTCAGAGAAAATGTGCAGGTGAGAAACAGCACACCTAGAATATTTACAGTGGGGAGAACAAGTATTTGATACACTGTTGATTTTTCAGGTTTTCCCACTTGCAAAGCTTGTAGAAGACTGTAATTTTTATCATAGGTACTCTTCAACTGTGAGTGTTGGAATCTAAAACAAAAATCCAGAAAAATACAATGTATGATTTTTAAATAATTAATTTCCATTTTATTATGTGAAATAAGTATTTGATACACCAGAACAATGAAACTTAATATTTGGTACAAAAACCTTTGTTTGCAATTACAGAGATCAGACGTTTCCTGTAGTTCTTGACCAGGTTTGCACATACTGCAGCAGGGATTTTGGCCCACTCCTCCATACAGATCTCCTCCAGAGCCTTCAGGTTTCGGGGCTGTCAATGGGCCACACGGACTTTAAGCTCCCTCCAAAGATTTTCTATTGGATTCAGGTCTGGAGACTGGCTAGGCCACTCCAGGACCTTAAGATGTTTCCTATGGAGCCACTCTTTAGTTGCCCTGGCTGTGTGTTTTGGGTTGTTATCATGCTGGAAGACCCAGCCACGACCCATCTTAAGTGCTCTTACTGAGGGAAGGAGGTTGTTGGCCAAAATCTCATGATACATGGCCCTATCCATCCTTCCCACAATATGGTGCAGTCATCCTGTCCCCTTTGCAGAAAAGCATCCCCAAAGAATGATGTTTCCACCGCAATGCTTCACGGTTGGAATGGTGTTCTTGGGGTTGTACTCATCATTCTTCTTCCTCCAAACATGATGAGTGGAGTTTAAACCAAAAAGTTCTATTTTTGTCTCATCAGACCACATGACCTTCTCCCATTCCTCCTCTGGATCATTCAGATGGTCATTTGCAAACATCAGACGGGCTTTGACATGCGTTGTGTTTGAGACTATTTTCTTTGAGACTGTGGTCCCAGCTCTATTCAGGTCATTGACCAGGTCCTGCCATGTAGTTCTGTGATCATTCCTCACCTTCCTCACGATCAATGATGCTCCACGAGGTGAGATCTTGCATGGCGCCCCAGACCGAGGGAGATTTTCCGTTAATTTGTATTTCTTCCATTTTCTAATAATTGCACCAACCGTTGTTGCCTTCTCACCAAGCTGCTTGCCTATTGTCCTGTAGCCCATCCCAGCCCTGTACAGGTCTGCTATTTTATCCCTGATGTCCTTACACAGCTCTCTGGTCTTGGGCATTGTGGAGATGCTGGAGTGTGATTGATTGAGTGTGTGGACAGGTGTCTTTTATACAGGTAACGAGTTCAAACAGGTGCAGTTAATACAGGTAATGAGTGGAGAACAGGAGGGCTTTTTAAAGAAGAACTAACATGATAATGTTGCTCTGTGAGAGCCAAAATTCTTACTGGTTGACAGATGATCAAATACTTATTTCACACAATAAAATGGAAATTAATCATTTAAAAATCATACTATGTCTTTTTCTGGATTTTTGTTTTAGATTCCATCACTCACAGTTGAAGAGTACCTATGATAAAAAGTACAGTCTTCTACAAGCAAGTGGGAAAACCAGAAAAATCAACAGTGTATCAAATACTTGTTCTCCCTACTGTATATATCAATGCAGTAATTATACCTGTTTTCTCACTGTACTGCTCTGTGTTTCTTTTGAATATTGATACTGTAGGAAACTAAAGAAATAATATAATAAATAGGTCATTATTCAATTGTTTTTCCAAGCCACGTTCCCCTTATCCAAAAATGTTTTATTGCCTACAGTTGACATCAGATTATGTTATAAATGTGTTTGGTTATTTAATATTTAACATTGAAATAAGATGTATCTTCTATTAGAATAATATGTTAAAAATATGTACTGTTATAGAGAGGAAATAAAAATATTTTTTTCCAAAGTAGCTTAACCTTGAATTTTTACTGCCAGTTTATTCTGAAGCTCTAGCTTTGTGCTAAAACTGAATTCATGTTTCTTAACTAACTAATAACATCAGCTCTTAATTAAGCATTCCACAACCTTAATGGCTACTGTCATTTTGAAAAGATTGTTGGATGTTTTTTACTACTTGCACAAACATTGGACATTTGAGCAATTATACACAAATGCAAAGAAACAAATTTCAAAAGCAGCTTCTTGCTATAGGTGGAGCTGAAACAAGCTGTTCATATACAGCTTCAATAAAGACGATTATTTTTATTTCTCTATCTAATCCATTTCCTATGTGCAAGAATAACAAGAGGGTTTTTAAACAAATCTTTACCAATTCAAGAATAACCTTGTAGATGAGATGAATGAAAATAACATTGCAGTCAAAACCACCTCATATCTAAATAAAACCATAAAAATTAACCTTAGAATTTCCTTTCCTGAAAACAGGGACATTTTTAAAAGGCCTTTGAATTCTTTGAGAGCAAAACAAATTATGTGTATGACAGATAGTGTCTATTTTTCTATGAAATCTGATACAAACTAGTTAAAGACAATTACTAATTTGCGACTGCAATCAACTAACCAGTGCTAAGTTTGGATTCAATCACAGTCCTGCCCTGCGCTATAGATAAGATCTAATCTTTACCATTAATCATCTGTGATAACAGTTCTCCTCAGGATCCAATCTATGAGCCTGTATGAAAAATGTTGCTGCGTGATTGAATGGGAGTCTGTGTTAACCTGATCAAATAAAGCTAGCGGCGACACCTAATGCTTACCAGCCTGCATTTTTCACAGGTTTTGAAATGGAAATTTGTCTTTTTGAAATTAAGATAAAGGTTCAGGAAATAAATGGATGTGTTAAAATTGAGATGCAGGTTTGAAATATGATAATTACATGTTATTTGTAGAATAAAGACTTGTGCCTTTTAAATGCAAAAATAAAGGTCAGATGTGAAGGCTTCATAGAGGCTATTCAGGAAATTAATTTACCAAGAACACAAACCCAAAAAACCTGAATGGTTTAAACCTCCTGACCTTTCTGACTAAAAAGTGGAAGAAAATGTTAAGACAAAGTTTTTAGTTGATTTCATAAAAGCTTTAGGTGTGTCTTTACCTTAATAACCTGAATAAACTCTGCTTTATGACTTCAAAAGCAAACAAAAAAATAATAATTTGGCTAATAAAAAACTGGGGATTTTGTACACATTAACAAATTAAGATATGTGTTTGGTTTCTAGGCGTTATGCTGTATGAGGATCCAGGCAGGAGATGAGTTGTTCCAGTAGGAGCTAAAAGTTTCTTGTGCAGCCACTCAAAATGTGAATGGAGTCTTTAGAGCGACGCCAAGCTGGGGTTTCATTCTTGTTTACTGAACCTTCTCTGTGCCAGCCATCATTGTCACATTAGTGCTGTAAGCCAGAGAGGAATGAAAGATGCAGAGACAAAAGCAAAGGAAGAGAGAGACAAGAGAGCTGGGCAACAAGAAACAAAAGCAGCGCTGTAACCGAACACAGAGCTCTCATTTGGGGAATGTTGGAGGAGGAGTAAAGAGGGGGGGGGGGGGAGTAATTAAAAACACAAGCCTCTCATTGGGGCTTTGAAGCAATGTGAATTGGAAACAGAATGACTTTTATTGCACAAAAATTATCTATAAACATTTATGCATGCAGTCAAAGACACATGCAGGGAATTATGCCAAAGCTTTGTAATAACTTCATCTCACCACACAGTGAGATATAAACACCGGCAAGTTAAGGGGCCCAAAGATCTCACACACAGACAAATCCGCACAGATTTTTATCTAAAGCCTCTGACTGCTGTATTATTCCAGAGTGGTGGTCCGTGAGTTGTTAACTTAGTTAACACCTCAGTCCACCTGCCCCGCTCTTTGTCTTCAGAAAGGTTCTGCTTCATAGGGAAAGCACCTCTTCTAAGGTAGGAGGATTTATTAACAATCACCATAGAGAAACACATGGCTGGGTAGTGCTGGGCAACATGGCTTCAAAATCTCACTCCTACCAAATTAGATTAATCCATTTCTTTATTCCCTATTCTATAAAAAAAAGAATGACAGATGATGTTACTTGGAAAAAAAAATAGCTTTAAATCAATCATCTCCTGGAAGATAACCTGAAATTTAAATGGCAATGGAATTCAAGTTGTAAAAAAGAGCTTGTAAAACAATCATCTTTCACAACGGAGTAAAAATTGAACACACTAAATCTTAACAGTGCAGTTTATCAGCTTCGAGAAAAGACGTAAGAGCATAAAGTAACAAACTACAGCCACTTTAAGCTACAGAAACCCGAGGAGTGCATTGGATTGGTGGGGGGAAAAAATCCAGAGTTTTCCAAAAGTTAGATCTGTATAAACAGAATATTCAATCACTCAATAAAACTCAATAAATTACCCAACCCTGTAACTTGGAGTGTAGAGTTGTATCTTATACACAGCTCTATAAAATATGTTTTTTTGTCTTCACAGGGATGGTTTTTATTGCCACCTTGCTTTGCAGCAATAGGGCCACATTCTGAGGTGTTTTTTTTTTTTTTTTACTGTTTAGGATGCTTCTGGGCATTTTCAAGATTAAAGGATCTGTGAATCTGCTGCAGAATAATGAAGCTGACATGCATTTCTGATATAAAGTCAGAAAAATTTACTAGAATATAGAAATAAAACAATTCCTCCAAATAGGAATGGGTCCGGATTCTCCAGTTCTGATGCTAAATTCGCTTAACCATTAATTACAAATTCTTTTAGGCAGTTGTTTGCTGCCAAGAGTCATGCAACCAGTTATTAGGTAGAATAGAATAGAATAGAATTTATTGTCCCACAATAGGGAAATTCTGCTGTTTACAGCAGCACAAAAATATAAAGCAAAAAGGTCACACAAATGTGGTCCTTAGGAATAACATAATCGGTCTAATAGGTACTTACTTCTTTTTTTTTTTTTACAAAGTGCAACTTTTATTTAAAAATGTGTTTGATTAGGTGAAATCAGTAAATCAAACATTTCAGTAAGGGTTTAGATCCTAATTTTTTCTATTGCTGTTGAAATGATTGGCAGATTCCCACGCCAACAATTGCAGTGGAGACTTTAAATCAAGATTAGCAGTTTATGTGGGTTGAAAAGCAGGTTGGCAGAGGGATTTTGATGAGTGAAACAAAGAGTGAGGGGGAGGCCTGGGGCATTCAGTTAACAAGAATGAGAGCTTTCTGCTGTTCAAAACCGCTGCCTACAAATAACAAAATGCTGATGTCCCAAGGTGTTAATCGGTTTAAATTGATGGCTTGTTTGAAGTAAGTTAACAGCTACAAGTAGCACACAGAAACTGTATTAAATAACTTATGTGGGCAATGTGACTTTACCGCGTAAATTCACACAATATAAATACAAACTTGTTCAGCTTTTTTTTTTCATGACATATTTTACAGAGAAAAATGTCTGGTTCTTAGTGTACCTCAAGGACTCTCGAGCATGTGAGAAGAAGGTGCAGGGTGTGCGAATGACAGCAGGCCTGTGGCACTTAATAAAGCCACTTATGCCCCTCAGGAAAAATAAGATTGATGATTAGATCTAGATTTAGTAGCAAGGCATGTTGAGACAACTCCTGTATTCCTCTTACTGCAGACATGTATAATTTTCCGGATGGGAATGTCTGATCTGTGTATTCATTTTTACATTTTATTTTGCCACCTATTCACACAATAAAAAACAAAGGGGAACAAAAATTTGAATTATTTTATTATTTTTATTTTTCATTCTGCTGAAGATTTGTACTTTGAAATGTGAAGGATGTACTTAAAGAGCAGCTTCATCATGACAATAAATACATAAAAGGAATCATTTATTATTTGCAAATGAATCAAGATTATTCAGAAGTCAGGATGAGGACACACATTTGAAAAATTTCCTAAAAATTAACTCATACAGATCAAAGCTGGCAGCTAATCAGTCAGTATTTAAATTGTAAAAATAAATCAACTTTTCATTTGTCAAAAAAAAAAATTTGTTTTTTTCTGCACATGAAGTTTGTGCTGCTGAGGTTCAAAATAAAACATTACAGAGCTTCCAAACCTCTGTTTATGGTTATTATACTCTGAGTACTTCTATACTACACACCACTTCCACCTTTGAAAACTTTTATATGGTTCAGTGAAGTTATGAGGATTACAATAGCGCCAGCTGATTCGATTAATGGCTCAATCCAAACTTGGCTGACTTAAACACATGCACAGATATAAGCACAGGCTGTTACAGACTGCAGAGAGGCCGGCACTTCAACACACACTCAGCAATTTAGAGAAAAACAGCCGTAACTCTTGTTAAGAGTTTAAAAAATAAAATCATTATAATTACTTTGACTGAAAACATTGATGTTTACAGCTTGCTTAGTCAACTTCATTGGTTTTTGTCCCTATAGCTCATCTTTGACCTTAGTATCTGGTGGCTTGGCTGCGATTCACTAGACAAATGCTTTTTTTGGTTAGTATTCGAAAGAAAAAAGTATATAATCTATGCATTGTTTTACTCCTGATAAAAAATATTACTTCATTAAGGTTATAAAATTAAGAGCAGTAATTAAGCCATGGTGTTGTTTGTTGCAAACACTGTGGTAAATTTATATCATAATGGTAATTATAGTATTTTACAGCAAACTGGTGTTCAAAGAGTCAACAATTTATTTTCTGATGAAAAATAGAATTTCAGTCCGCAGATTAAAAAAAATAAAATAACATACATTCTGTTATATCTGCCTCAAATTTCAGTAAGAAACAAACAAACAAAAAAATGTAAATATTGTTAGGTGTTATTAAGAATATGCATTTAAGTGTTCTGTTTTTTATGTATCATATAGCTGTTGGCCTATCTGTAAAAGAGGTCAGTAGTTTATGCAGAAAGCAGCTTAGATAACGATGAAAATGCTGACTGTATAATAAATGAATGCAATAGGTTTCACCAAAATCTACCTGATTATTAAAGAATTGCTTGTATTTGCTTTCCAGTAACCAAAGTTTTTTTTTGCTTTATATTTAATTTTTGACCAGAATGCCATGGTGTCCTTCAAGGAGCTTTGTGGCCTGACTCCTGCCGCCAACATGAAGCAGTGCATCCTGACCGTATCTACCTGGCTGATGAACAGTGAACGATCGCTGAAGGTGACGGTGGACCTGAGCGAGACCTATCCCACCATGGAAGCACAGGGTCCCGTGCCTGAGCTTCTACGCAAAGTGCTAACCGCCTATGACATGGTAAACTATCACAGTAACCAACACTGTTCTAAAAGTTAAAATCTCTGCACTCTTTAATTTTCCAAAGGAATACATTCAAAGCAAATATAAACGGAGGTGTAATAAGAGATATTTTTCTATTTATGAAAATACTTAATTACCTTAATGTTGTGATGAACAATGGTGCATATAGAATTCAGCAAGGAACATTGTTGTCATAATTGCCTGTAAAGGTAAGAGCCCCTGCTGCTGTGTTTTTGTATTCATGTAAGTCAGTGTGCAAATCCAGTCCAAACTGGTGCATACTGCACACATTGTTACTGATAAGGTTTGCATCACATTTTCAAAAGCTTTAAAAAAATAACTAAAATGTATTCTGGTATTTAACAAAAATACTAGGGATGCACGATTTTGGCCGATATCCGATATGCCGATATTTTAAAACTCATGTAGCCGATAACCGATATCAATACCGATGTTAAAGCTGGACAAAAATAAGTAGTCATTGAAAAGTTTTGTTATTCATTTCTGACACTTTGAAAAATAATATACTCAAATATATTTTCATATGCTGATATCAAATTGATTTTTAAAAACGCAGTATTGATCTATTTTACTTTCAAAATCTCATGAGATTTCATCGTTCTGTTACAAACTCTCGTGATATTTTGCAAATTCTTGTGAGATTTTGTTAGTAAAATAGATCGATACCGCGTCAGTATATCAACATGTAAAACTATGGCAAAATTTTGTGAATTTTCGGGGGATTTCGTAGCATAACGATGACATATAGCAATATTTCATTAGTAAAAGAGATTGATATGGTGTTTTTAAATGGCAATATATCAGCATATGAAGATATTGTATATTAAAGAAGTTTTTAAGTCTGTAAAAAAGAAGTTTTTGAGGAAGAAGAATAAGTAGTATTTTATTTTTTTTTAGACTTTAGAAACTCAGAAGCTGATCAAATATCGGGTTAAATATCGGTGGGGTGGCCGATGTCCGATATTCAGTTTTAAGGCCGATACAGGCCGATACAGGCCGATACCGATAGGGGGCCGATTATATCGTGCATCCCTAAAAAACACATAAACATAACTAGGGCTGGGTAAAAAAAAAAATATTTAATCGATTTTGGATCGATTCTTTTATACTTTTGCAAAATCGATGTGTAGGGTATGAGATCGATTAGTTTTATAGTGACGCGCGTGACGTTCACGTTCAAATGAGCAGGCGTGTGCAAATGCCGACCCAACTAACACACCACTCAGCAAGCTGTCCCAACTGAAGTCTGATGTCTGGAACCATTTTGGATTTAAAACAACTAAAGATAATGTGCTGGATATGTGACATTAAGGTGACTTTCTACTACATTGATAATGAGTGGCTCCTCCCATCTCATTCAACAGACCACCAAGATTATTCAAGCCAGACAGCTGCAAATATAGCCAATAGGTTGAGTGAAGACATTAAAAAGTGAGGGCTAACCAGCAAACACCCTGTAGTTGTTACAGACAAGGCTGCAAATATGGTTTGTGCATTGAAGATAATGCAGCTCATGCATGTCTTCTGTGTCCCAGCTGTGTCAGGTCTGCTTGCTCGAGTGAGGCTTCACTTTTTCACTTTCACAAACAAGTTTGCACTTTTTAGAGAGCCTTGTTCACATCTCAAGTTTAAACTGTCTGTTTTACAAGTTTGCACTCTGTGTTTAATTTGACAGGAAAAAATAAAATACATAAGAATTTTGAAACAGAGTTGAACAACTTTCATTATTGTAAAATCAGATCAAATCAAAATTAATCGATTTAGAACTGAATCAAAATTGAATCCATTCAGGAGGCGAAATTACCCAGCCCTAAACATAACTGTACTAAAGCAGGAAAAAGGAAAAACTTTACATTGTGAAAAAAGGAAGTAGTTCATGTTGTTTAGCTGCTGGCCTTTAAACATGATTTTATTTTGTTGTACTGGTGCTGTCATGTTTTCCGTGTAATAAGGACTCAAGTGCAGAATATCAGCTCTTAAAGCAGAGTTCCTTATTATAAAACATAAAAATCTATAAATGAATGTCGCTGAGGGAGAACAGGTCAGGGATCAGGGACAGAAAAACAGATATTGGGAAAAAAAAAAATCCATCAATGGGCTATGATTACCGGCATGCTTCAATACAAAGGCAGGAGAGAAACATAAAAAAAGTAGCCAGCAGAGCATTAAGAAGATTTCAAACAGCTGTGGCAAAATGAATTAACACAGACACGGCTAAGATAAGACGCAAAGAAATACAGTTTAAGATAAAAATAAATGCATCACAGTCAAATAAAACATTTGCTCTCACAAAGGGACAGGACATAATAATCTATAAATTAAAAAGAAAATAATTAACTTATACAGTAAGACAATAATTGAACATAAATTGTAAACTAGGCATATTTATAACAAGAAGCATTGAGGTTTAGTCTCAAATTATTGTTCGTTTCGTACCTACAGAATGTTGAACTTTTTTTAATTGAAAGAACAGAATTTGAGACGATTTAATTCAATAAAACTTTTAAAATAAAAGCAAATACCTAACTAGAAGCTAATTCTGCACCAAGTCTACTCTCAATGCCTTTTTGTCATGCAGCAGTCAAAGCTGCTCTTTCACACCTGAGCCATCTCCCTCTGCTAAACTCCTGTGCTTGGGTATGAGGCGCACGTAGGAGTTCACAGACGCTCCACACACGAGACAGACGCAGTTCTGCTTCTATTTCAATGTAAACACGCACAGTGTGATTCACACTGCATAGTGCACCATATGCTCACACAAAGGACTGCTCTGTGTGCATCACTCATTTACGTGAATGACGTTTATTGTCCTACACTTAAAATGACTGTGCAGAAACTGACTGCTCTTTTAAAATGATTGTATTCATCCTCTATTTTTTAAATGTTTGCATGTTTGTTTTCAAGTTTGAAGATGTTTTGCTTCCCATCTAAGAAGCTTTTTCAGTTCCAAATGTCAGGAATAGCGTTAAGCTCCAGGTTTTATACAGTTGCCCAACAAAAAAAAACTCTTACTCAATGCCATTCCTGACATTTTGAATTGATAAGGTTCTTGGATGGGAAGCAAAAAAAGTCCAGTGGACTCTGAGAAAAAATAACTTCTGATGTTATTAGGTTAGAATTTAAATACTTAATACCTTATAAAGGCACAATTAGCAACTACAAACAAATTTAAACCACTGACTGCATCTTATTTTGGGAAGCTATTGTAAAATTGGTTTATTTATTTATTGATTATTCTTAATCATCTAATAAAAATCTATTTTCATAAGGTCAAAGTGTAGCTTAATAAATTGCTTCTTATGTATGACCAAGAAAAACGCCCATAGCTGGATGAGTTTTACCCAATATGACCCGAACCACCTACAGTAATTGACCTGTCAAGCTGTCAAGATGAAGCTGCTTATTGGGTGAAAGAGCTTTTCACTCTGCCACCTCTTAAACCGCTGTACTTTTCTTCAGCTCACATAGAGAAATGCAGAAAGGTTTTAAAAGAGACTAAACTTACTTATCACCTGCTGTTTTTACACCTTTGCTATTTATGTTTATTTATTTATTTATTTTGGGGGGGGGGAGCTCAGTAAGTAAATCAGTTTTTGGGTTGCAGCCTTTATGCTTCACTTATGAACACATTTGTGTTTTAAAAGGCTGTGTACGCTTTTTAAATTATGACCTTTCAGCTCATATCACACATTTTGCTGTTCTTATGTATTAAAATGAATGTTCAGTTGTTTTATTTTATGATTTTTTTTCCCCACACTGCATGTTTTAAGTATGTAAGTATTCAGCAACACTAACTTTACCTCACAATATTCACATATGGTTATGGGTTCAAAGTCCCTGTTACAGTGAAACTGGATTAGTGAAAATCCACATTTTTTATACACTCTTTAGCTTGCGGGTTTTCTTTGCACCATAGTTAAAATGTTGAAAATTATGAATGATCCCTTTGAAAGAATCAGCCATGCAAACAAATTGATAAAGAGGAAATACAAAAAAAAAGCGTTGCATGAGCTTTATGGAATCCATAATAGCAAATATTGTATCGTGTAAATTTTATGAGCGTCTATTTCAGCATTCAGCAACATCTTCTTGGTTGTTTTGTATCTCAGATTGCTTTCCACTCGTAATATATCCATGCAGTATTTTTCAAAGGTAAAGGAGACACATTCTTTTATAATATTCAATCAGAAAATAACCACAACAATGATGTATTTTTAATAAGGCAAGGCAATTTTTTTTGTATAGCACAATTCAGTACAAAGACAATGCAAAGTGCTTTACATGATTAAAATACAGGAAGATAAAACAGAATCAAAGCAAGTAGGAAAAAAAATAAATAAAAATTAAATAAAATTAAATAAAAAATGCAGAAACAAAAAAAAGAATATTAAAAACAGTTGGAAGTTTTTGCTAAATTACATTTATTTATTTTATTTTTTTTTTTTTAGTAGGAGTTTATGCTAGAGATCAACACAAATCACTTTATTTCAATGAATGTGAAATAGAAGTAAAGGTAACATGTTTTCATTTGTAGTTGAAAAAGGGCTTCTAAGAAAAAGCATATAGCTGTAGTTGTAACTGCAGCGTACAATAATCCTGGGCAACTAACCTTGTGCTGAAAGCTGTAGTGATGCAAAGATCTGAGTTTTCAGTCTCACAACAAATCCATCTGGAAAGACTCCCATTAATACTTCTGTCTCATAACAACTAGCAACTCGGACCAATGACATGCCAGCAGTGGTTTTTGGGGCGGGTCATGTAGGAAATTAAAATCCCACTTGTCATTCCAGATGCATGACTAAAACATCACGATTCGCTGCTACGAGAGGTTGTATCCCTCCGATACAAAATACCAGTTAATTTTCTTATTATCTAAAGACAAACGAAAGCCGTTTTCTCGTCACAACGAGATGATTTGTCTGTTTTAAAACTGATTACCTCCTTCACTACCACAACAACGGGAGAGGATTTATAAG